CATTTTGTTGATTTTCCAAGTGAAAATAAGTTAACACGTCATCTCAGTTACATTTGGTAGTTATCTGCAAATTTTAGGGCACTATTTCTATTCATTTGCTGAGGTTAAAGCTACACTGTGTACGTTTTGGGGATTTGGAGGCCTCTCTGGTGGAAACGTGTAATTGCATGCAACGTGCGGAAGAAGTGGGTTGTGCTTCGTTCCCGTTCCCGAGAGAATGAATCTGATGATTAAAAGAGAAATCGATGAGAACTCAGTCAAAACATTGAGCTGGACAGTCTCTTTGGGCCTCATGCTGCTACTGCTAATGCTACTTCTTTCAATTTTAACAAATAAAGTTACACCGCTTAAAGCAGCTTCATACACCACAACACAGTCCAGAGGTTTTGAGGATTAAGACTCGAATCTGCTATGAAAACTGTTATGCTACACTTGCTGTTGCTAACATTACACTGTTGCTAACACTAAAGGCTGGGCTTAGCTTAGTGAGCAGGCTAGGGTTAGCTTAGTGAGCAGATGTAAACAGCTTTATCCACTGTAAGTTCAATATTCACTCATTTAGAGGAAAAAGACTTACATCTTACTCTACTCTTGCTGTTGCTAACACTAAAGAATAACAATTGTGAGCAGACTAAACTCAGGATGTATTGATGCTGATACTGGTATCAGGTATTGGCCCAACACCATGCTTATTTACTCATACTTGACCTCATAAATGCACAGATACCAACATCTATTACCACCTGATACCATGTAATGTAACCCGAGTGTACACCTCCATGCTAATAAACAAAGACTCAAGCTGGCAAGGCTCAGTGAACAAGGATCAGAGATGTGTTGCTGACGAATTTGAGTGACCCCACAGTGGAAACCACAGAGCCATTGACGTTGTGGGGGGTATGGAAGGGGTGGGGGTTGTGCCTGAAGTTGACCACCAACTCTACTGTCTTTTGCTCTTAAAGGGCCAAAGATTCACCAAAGGTAAAAGCACAGCAGGCAGGGTAGTAGGAGAAGGGGGTTACAATTTACATATGCATATTTGTAAAGCTTCACTCCCGTGCCATGTTTAGTAGTTTCCTGGTAATCATAATAAAAGTAATTCAGAGTAATATTGTCACAATTTATTAAACATATTTTTTTACACTTTTATGGGTGTTTTAGCCCCTTAAAGTCCCAGGCTTGTTACATGCTAAGGCTTATTATTGAGTAAATACAGGGATTTTAGTGCAAAATGAGTTCTAAAAGTGTGTAACAAAACTTTGGGCCTAAAGTTTGGGCCCTGGCCAGTTAAGGGGATAAAAGCAAATCCACAGATTTTTCAGCATGATTCAATAATTGAGATTAAGTAAGCAAAGTTATTTAGAGTTGTTCAATGTGAAGTGGTGCATTGTCCAGACTCAGATTTCTTTACAGTGTTTGCTCGAAACCAGGAGTCGCAAGTAGACTCTTCAGGTTCCACCACCACCACTGTGAAGTAAGATTCTCTAGAACGCCGCACTTCACATCAGACCACTCTGAATGACTTTGTTTACATTTTAGCCATTACATTATGCAAAAAAAAATGATAGAACCAGTTTAACTCATATTCTCTCTCACGCTGCCCATTCAGCCAGCAGTAATAGCACTGGTAATGGGTCTTTCAGTGCCGTAGATCAATATTAGTACTTCCAGAACCAGGTCGGTGCCTTTTACCTTCTTTTATGCTCAGTCCTCTGTTCTCACTGCTTTGCATGCCGTTCCTCTATCATTCCATTATCAGCGATGTCCTTATCTCTGTATCCTATTCATCTTCATTTCTCTCTCCAAGTGCTTGGTGGCGGTTGAGACAGGCGAACGAGGGGGGCCTCCAGTCAGCCGGATAAACTCATTAACTCCCGAAGCCCCGTGCTAATACCTCAATCTCTAACCCACAACCCATGTGCATGTGTGTGGTCTGAGTCTCGGGCTGTGATTGAGTGTCTTTGTAAGGCCTGGGTGATAAAACGATAGTAACAGTTATGACAAATCAAACATATTTTATATTGATGATGCACAGATTTAGTTGGGATGAATTACTATGTTGGTACAGTACATGTCGACATGCGGCATTTACTCGCTAGACAGACAGGAAGAAGTCTATCCATTCACTCACAGTATCACAAACCAGTGGGACAGTTAGCAGAGACAGCTGCCTGGCTAGCTATTTTCATATAGATATTCATAACAGCTGTCATAGCTCTTTTTAGCAATAATAATTACCTATATAAATGAATGTGGAAAGATAGTTTGTGGTTAGATTGTTTGACCATATCATCCAGCCCTAGTTTTTATACAAGCGGATGGTGCAGATATTCCTGTGTATATGTCTGGTTTTGAGGGAGAACAGCATGGAAGCAGCCATGGCGTTTGGTCAGTGAGGCTGATCAGGCACATTAAATGATCCCAGAGTGAGCCCAGAAGGGAGCTAACGGACCGAAACAGCAGCAACTTGCCCTCTGGGCTCCATTCTCTCTCGCTTGAGTGCTGCTGCTGCGCTCCTGACCCATGAAGAATCGGGGGCAGAAGTGAGCAATTGATACTGATACTGAACCAGAGAGTCTCTGATCACTTTCTTGTGTTTTTTGGTCTGCTTGTGCTTTTGAGTAGTACAACAAAATATTGAGATCCTTTCATTCTTTGTTTTATATTGTTGAACTGTGCTGTGTTTTTCTGCAACTGCTGCACCTTGTGGCTTTGTCTTGCACTGGAGGTTGTACCTTTCTGAAGTGTTCTGCACTGAACCCGACTGTAGCCTAACAAAATTCTGTCTGATCTTGACTGTAGCCTAACAAAATTCTGTCTGAACTCGACTGTAACCCAACAAAGTTCTGTCTGAACTCGACTGTAGCCCAACAAAATTCTGTCTGAACTCGACTGTAGCCCAACAAAGTTCTGTCTGAACTCGACTGTAGCCCAACAAAGTTCTGTCTGAACTCGACTGTAGCCCAACAAAATTCTGTCTGATCTTGACTGTAGCCCAACAAAATTCTGTCTGATCTTGACTGTAGCCTAACAAAATTCTGTCTGAACTCGACAGTAGCCCAACAAAATTCTGTCTGATCTTGACTGTAGCCCAACAAAATTCTGTCTGATTTTGACTGTAGCCCAACAAAATTCTGTCTGAACTCGACAGTAGCCCAACAAAATTCTGTCTGATCTTGACTGTAGCCCAACAAAATTCTGTCTGATCTTGACTGTAGCCCAACAAAATTCTGTCTGAACCGACTGTAGCCCAACAAAATTCTGTCTGATCTTGACTGTAGCCCAACAAAATTCTGTCTGAACCGACTGTAGCCCAACAAAATTCTGTCTGATCTTGACTGTAGCCCAACAAAGTTCTGTCTGAACCGACTGTAGCCCAACAAAATTCTGTCTGAACCGACTGTAGCCCACAAAATTCTGTCTGAACCGACTGTAGCCCACAAAATTCTGTCTGATCTTGACTGTAGCCCAACAAAATTCTGTCTGAACCGACTGTAGCCTACAAAATTCTGTCTGATCTTGACTGTAGCCCAACAAAATTCTGTCTGATCTTGACTGTAGCCCACAAAATTCTGTCTGATCTTGACTGTAGCCCAACAAAATTCTGTCTGATCTTGACTGTAGCCCAACAAAATTCTGTCTGAACCGACTGTAGCCCAACAAAATTCTGTCTGATCTTGACTGTAGCCCACAAAATTCTGTCTGAACCGACTGTAGCCCACAAAATTCTGTCTGATCTTGACTGTAGCCCAACAAAATTCTGTCTGAACCGACTGTAGCCAAACAAAATTCTGTCTGAACCCGACTGTAGCCCACAAAATTCTGTCTGAACCCGACTGTAGCCTAACAAAGTTCTGTCTGAACTCGACTGTAGCCCAACAAAATTCTATCTGATCTTGACTGTAGCCCAACAAAGTTCTGTCTGAACTCGACTGTAGCCCAACAAAGTTCTGTCTGAACTCGACTGTAGCCCAACAAAATTCTGTCTGATCTTGACTGTAGCCCAACAAAGTTCTGTCTGATCTTGACTGTAGCCCAACAAAATTCTGTCTGATCTTACTGTAGCCCAACAAAATTCTGTCTGATCTTGACTGTAGCCCAACAAAGTTCTGTCTGAACCGACTGTGGCCCAACAAAATTCTGTCTGAACCCGACTGTAGCCCAACAAAGTTCTGTCTGAACCGACTGTAGCCCACAAAATTCTGTCTGAACCGACTGTAGCCCACAAAATTCTGTCTGAACCCGACTGTAACCCAACAAAATTCTGTCTGAACCGACTGTAGCCCACAAAATTCTGTCTGAACCCGACTGTAGCCCAACAAAATTCTGTCTGAACCCGACTGTAGCCCAACAAAATTCTGTCTGAACCCGACTGTAGCCCAACAAAATTCTGTCTGAACCGACTGTAGCCCACAAAATTCTGTCTGAACCGACTGTAGCCCAACAAAGTTCTGTCTGAACCCGACTGTAGCAAAATTCTGTCTGAACCGACTGTAGCCCGCAAAATTCTGTCTGAACCGACTGTAGCCCAACAAAATTCTGTCTGATCTTGACTGTAGCCCAACAAAATTCTGTCTGAACCGACTGTAGCCCAACAAAATTCTGTCTGAACCGACTGTAGCCCAACAAAATTCTGTCTGAACCGACTGTAGCCTAACAAATTTCTGGCTGAACCTAAGCGTAAAATATTTAACCTGACACAAACTAAGAGATATTTGGGAAATGATGTCCAGATCCGACATAAACAACCGGTCAGTTCAGGTTTAGAAAGATTGTCCAAGCTCTATTTTTGCACTGAAGTAATATACTTATTTAGCACTTGCATTTAAATTGATTCGTCATAGTTGTATGCTTGAATTTTACTGTACCTCACTTGTTAGTAGCTTTGAATAAAAGTGTCTGCCAGATGCATAAATGTACATGTAACATTGTAAAATTTATTTATATAGTCATAAAAGGAAAAATATACATCTGACTGGTGTATGTTTGTGTTTTTCTAGCACTCTCACCAGGACGGTGGAGATCTCTGGAGAACTGGGGCCTTTGGGGATTAAAGTTGTTCCATATTGTTCCTCACTGAGTGGAAGGTAAGAAAGCATAGACACACATACGCATTTCTGCTCCTGTTTTTATGGGATATTTCCATGTTTTTGTGTTTGACTCTCAGTAAATGCTGCTGCACCTCACCCAGCCCTAACCTTAAAGCGATAGTTCAGTGGACAAAGTCTGAAGTTTACTTTATAGGTTTTGCACTACAAGGCTAATGTACCCCCAGTTAGCACTGTGTAAACTGTGTGCCTTAATTATCTTACACTTGCTTCTTGCTGTATAGAGTTTTAGAAATAACACTGTGGCTTGAAAGTTTGTGAACCCTATAATTTTCTATATTTCTGTATGAATTTGACCTAAAACTTCATCCAATTTTCACACAAGTGAACCGGATTAATCAAATGAGACAAAAATATGAGACTTGGTCATTTATTTATTGAGGAAAGTGATCCAATATTACATATGTGAGTGGCATATCTGAGAGATCTGTGAGACCATAATAGGTCTTTTTGGTTGAAATGAGAAGCATTATGTTTGGAGAAAGGAAAACACTGCATTCCAGCAAAGAAACCTTATCCCATCTGTGAAACACGGTGGTGGTAGTATCATGGTTCGGGCCTGTTTTGCTGCATCTGGGCCAGGTCGTCTTGCCATCATTGGTGGAACAATGAACTCTGAAGTACACCAGCAAATTTGAAAGGAAAATCTGTTGGTGAGAGGAAACTTAAGACAACATGGGTCATGCAGCAAGACAACAAGTTGTTCTAGCAAAGAATGGTTAAGGAAGAGTAAAGTCAAAAGTCCTGACCTTAATCCTATAGAAATGATGTGCAAAGACCTGAAGCAGCAGTTCCTGAGAGGAGACCCACCAACATAACAGAGTTGAAGCTGTTTTGTACAGAGGGGCTAAAACTCCACCAAGCTGATGTGCAGGACTAATCAACAGTTACCAGAAACCTTTAGTTGCAGTTATTGCTGCACAGGGGGATTACACAAGATACTGAAAGTAAAGGTTCACATACTTTTGCCACTCACAGATATGAAATATCGGATCATTTTCCTCAATAAATAAATAATCCCAGTAACAACTAGCAAACAACACATAACCCTAATACCCACACTAAAATACACACACATTTATACACACATGCCCACACACACCCAGAAAGGAAATGTGGAGGTGATGAGGGCCAGCATCCTGAGTCCACTAGGACATGTGCTCGCACACGCTCACTATGTGTGACAAGAAATGACCCTGCTTCCTGTTTTGGGTCTGTTTTTGCAGCAGGTATTTACAAATAGGCTCTTTTAAGAAAGATGGCTGTCCTTTGTCCTGTCTTTGTCTTGTTCATCATCTATGTCTCTCTCTCTCTCTCTCTCTCTCATTGGGGTGCAAATGTGCTCCATGACCTGCTGAACTCTGACAAGCAGACAACTGCATCAAAACACACAATTTTCATTTATGTACATACATAAGTACATGTATGTGCAAAAGTTTTGGCACCCCCGGGCATCCTTTGTTAATTTTGTAAGTGAAAATAAGTGAACACATCCTTTGCGTAGAACACATTTCTGCACATTTAAACGCTTGAATTACTGTTCATTTGCAGAATTATGTATATATATATTTGCCTGTGCAAAAGTTATGGCACATTTTATATTTCATATTTACTTTTTTTTTCTTATATCAAAAAAAATACATGTTTAATGTGCACTAAAAATTGCAGAAAAATGACATATTTAAGTTACCTGCAGAGGATGTGTTAACTTGTTTTCACTTAGAAACTCAACAAAAGTTGTAATTGGACTAAGGGTGTTTAAACTTTTTCAAGCAACTGTATGTATATGTGCATCCTCTCATTGTCAAAACAACCATTTATCTCCATTTTTGCCATTTTTGTATTATTTGAAAATTCCAGCTGGCCTTTGTATTGCTTGAAAGGTTTATGATGATAAAATAGACGTGGTTAAATATTACTTAGAAATAAAATCTACGGTCTTTTTACATTAACTTCCATTTAAAGTTAAGAACTTTTTTCCAGAGTTTGGGATTTTTTGTGATTTGGTTTGGTTGATTTCACATTGCAACATCTAAATGCACCAATTACACCTACGAATTCTTGTTTATTGGTCAGAAACTTAGCAGAGACTCAAGTGATCTCTTATTCTCACATCTGCCACCATTTGATTCTATAGTAGTTTATAATAAACCTTTCATGATGCCTGCTTCTATAGTTTGAACGTAACCAGTCAGGTCGCTTATTCAGTACGCTCTGCGTTATTTTATTGCTCCTCAGTTGTTATTAACAGCAGCTCATGCTGCTAGAAGGATATCAGCATCAGTCGTTAAAACAGACAGTCCAACACTGACTGCTAGAACAAGCAGGAAAGCATACTCTGACATTGAGTTCCTCCCTTTGGTGCCAAAAATCACCCCTGCAGCGAACTGAAATAGGGTTCGCTAAGCAGACCGATACCTGTGGTTTCGTCAGACCACGATTCATTAGTGCGGACACCTGTCAAAATGGACAGAAGTAAAGAGAAAGTTAGAATGGTCCACACCAAACAAGATGTGAAAATGCCCTACCTTGTTTGGTGCAGATCAATCAAACTTCTTTTTTAATCTGGTTTGTTTTTTCAGGTGTGAACACTCCCAAGCGGCAGTGTCATTACTTTCGTATGGCCACGAATTGGTTATGTATCCCATTTAAGAGCACATATGAAAGTGGCTTAGATTGGATATGAAAAGATCAGATTTGTCCACATAACTCTGAAAAAAAAAACAAATCTGTGTCACATAAAGACAAAAAAATCTTCAGCCTGTTAATGTAAACGTTACAAAGCAAATGAATCAGTTCTAATCAAACCAAACCTTCCAAGTCTGAACACACCCTAAAGTTCCCATTTCAGGGACCAAAATGTACTTGCTGTTGAACTTAACGTGCAAATTTCAACTTGTAATTGTTTGGTAAACATTATATTTTGAGTATGTTTTTAAGCATTTGTGTGTTTTCCTTAGGACTCTAGGCCTCCACGTTAAAGGCATCGAGGAGAACAGTCGCTCGAAGCGAGAGGGCATCTTTCAGGAGGACGAATGCATCGTACAGATCAATGACACTGAGCTAATAGACAAGTCTTTTGCTCAGTAAGTCTTTCAGTCTTGTCTCTTCGATCCATCAGTTCATTGCCAATCTCATCCTCACCTCTTTCCTTTATATCTCATATCTTTGTCGCAGTCTCTCTCTCCCAAACCTGCCTTTATTCCTCATTACCTCTCTCCCTCTTTCTTTCATGGCCTTCATCCCTCGCTCTGTCTCTTTCACTGCTACATCTTTACCCCCTACAAAAGAAATAGCTTTCTCTCCTGTTCTCTCATTGCGAGTGTGGAATAGGCCTATTAAGTGCCATCACGGTATCGGACAACCTTCAGAATGGCTGTGGATTAAAACAAGTGGCTGCTAAGGAGAGAGAGGGAGGGAGGGAGAGATGGAGGGAGGGAGGGAAGAAGTTGAGAGGTAAAGCAGCAGCTGATTTTACCTTTGCAGCATTGTCCTAAGGTGAACTGCACAGGTTTTGCTTCCTTTCTTGTTATGTGTGGGCTAGCTAGCCAAAAACCACACCACCGGTGAGCCAAAAGCCATCACAGGGTGTATCCTGCCTTCCGCCCAATGACAGCTGGGATAGGCTCCAGCACCCCACCGCGACCCAGAAGGATAAGCGGTTTAGATGATGTATGCATGTATTATGTCTAATATGGTTCTCCAAATGTTGCAAGAACAGTGCCGACTCGCCAAGGCATGTCGCCAAGATGTTACCAGCAGATGCTGTAAGTTGTGACGTGGAGTCACCTGTGGTTCCAGCCATCGTACAGCTGACAGCTGCTTGATCAGATTGAGATCCATGGAATTTGGAGGCCATAGCAACACCTTGAACTCTTCATGTTCCTCAATCCATTCCTGAACAATGTGTGCAGTGTAGCAGGGTGAATTATCCTGCTAAAAGAGCCCACTGCCTACCTGGTCCACAACAATGTTTAGGTAGGTGGCACGTGTCAAATTGACATCCGGACCCAGGTTTTCCAAGCAGAACGTTGCCCAGAGCATCACACTCCCTCCACTGCCTTGTCTTCTTCCCACAGTGCATCCTGGTGCCATCACTTCCCCAGGTAAATGCTGCACATGTACCTGGCAGTGATGTAAAGAAAACTGAAACTCATTGGACCAAGGGACTTCCTTCTATTGCTCCAAGGTCCAGTTTTGTCGCTCGCATGCCCATTGTAAGCACTTTTGATGGTGGACAGGGGGCACTCCAATTGGTCTGCAGCTACACAGCACCCATATGCAGCAGGGTGCAACTGTATTGTGACACAATCCTCCTGTAACCGTCATTAAAAATGTGATTTGTGCTGCAGTAGCCCTCCTGTTGGTTTGGACCAGCCTTCCTTGTCCTCACACACTAATGAGCATTGTGCATCCAGAACCCTGTCGCTGGTTTGTGGTTTTTTGCTCTTTTGGACCACTAGTTGTAGGCAGTCACCACTGCTGTCCAGGAGCACCCCACAAGCCTTACTATTTCAGAGATACTCTGACCAGTTCGTCTGACCATAATGATTTGGCCCTTGTGCAAGTCAATCAGGTGTTAGCGCCTGCCTATTTCTCCCACTTCCAACGTGCCTACTTTGAGAAGCGATTGTTTGCCTACTGTGTAACGTATCCCAGACTTGGACATGTACTGTTACGAGCTTCATCTGCGAGTGGTCATAATGTTTTGTATATAATGTTAAATATATGTTAGCTAATTAGATGGCTTGCTTACATACCCTGCTAATTAGTTGGCCAACATGCCAGGTAGTCAGCTAGCTCGTGTGCAAGTTATATCCAACCTTTAAAATTATGTACAGTATATCGTCTCTGAAACAATTTATTCTCTCTAACAAACGACTCTCACTTAACCTTAATGTTGGACACCTCACTAGCAGTTAAGCTTGCTTGCTAACTTGCTGACTATCTTCTGCCCAAGTTGAGGCTTTGTCCAGCCTGGAGCTTAACCTGTGGAGCTTACAGCTGGATGTCACTTGACGCTCCTCTTTCTCATTTCAGGTCACAGGAGGTCTTCCGCCAGGCCATGTCCTCCCCACTTGTACGCCTTGAGGTGCTGCCCGTAGCCAGCAAGCTCAACTACGAGAAGAGCCTCATTGGCCAGCTGTTCAGTGGCCCTGAATCCGTCCACCACACTGTCCCCAAGATCAAGAGCCCTTTCCTGCTTCGCAAGGGCGACGGCAAAGCCACTGACCACCTGGTGTGGCCGAGCTCCGAGACCCCACCTCCAGAGGAAACCCCACCTCCTGTAAGGCATGCTCCCATGGAGGCAGAGCGTCGCCAGGAGACCCCACCTCCTCCCGTCAGTGCCTCACCCACTCCCAAGGGTCACAGTGAAAGCCCCGCCTCCAGAAGAAGCCCCGCCCTTGCCACTCTGCCAAACACGGCTACCAAGAAGGGCAGCAAGAAGATGAAGATAAATCTTACAAAAGGTGAGGTTTAGTTCACATGATGTTTCATTAAGGGACACAAACTTTTCTCTTCTCTTCTCTTCTCTTCTCTTCTCTTCTCTTCTCTTCTCGTGTCTTCATTTGTCTTCTTCCTGTCTACCTTCTTTTATCTCTTCTCTTCTCTTCTCATTTGTCTTCTTCTTGTCTACCTTCTTTTTTCTCTTCTCTTCTCTTCTCTTCTCTTCTCTTTGCTTCTCTTCTCTTCTCTTTGCTTCTCTTCTCTTCTCTCTTGTCTTCTTTTTTCTCTTCGCTCTTCTCATGTCTTCCTTCTCTTCTAGTGTCTTCTTTTGTCTTCTCTTGACTTCTCATCTTGTCCACCTTCTTTTCTCTACTTATTTCTCTTCTCATTTATTCTCTTCTATTCTTTTCTCTTCTCTCTTCTCTCCTCTTTTTCAGCTCTTCTCTACTTCTTATTTCTCTTCTCTTCTCTTCTCTTCTCTTCTCTTCTCTTCTCTTCTCTGTCGCTTGATTGACAGCCTCTCTGGATTTAAAACATTAATGGAAGTCAGTCAGGAGCTCCACTGGGAGATGGGATTTCATCATTTTCCATCGTTAGTATGCTGGATTGGTTTCTATCCTGTGTAACATCTTTCAGTCGTGGCTGTGTGTGTGTGTGTGTGTGTGTGTGTGTGTGTGTGTGTGTGTGTGAGAGAGAGAGAGAGAGAGAGAGAGAGAGAGAGAGAGAGAGCTATCCTTAGCTTCAGTAATCACACGTGCCCTTGGGGATAGCAGAGTCATGGGGAATACATCTTAGGATGATTCCCTAAGCCTTCCTCTTCATCTTTGTTTTCTTCCCTTTTTCTCCTTTTCTCTTTTCCTTTTTCTCTTTTCCGCCCTCTCTTCCTTTCTTTTCACTTTTCTTTTCCTTGCACAGCCGCTAATCTCCCTCCAACAACCCCTTTTTTTCTCCCTCTCTCTCTCTCTGTCTTCCTCTGTCTCTCTCTCTCTCTCTCTCTCTCTCCCCCTCTCTCCTCTATCCGCTCTCACTATCCTGCTCTCCCCATCTCTTTGGCTCCCCCGGAACGTGCTGGCGTGTGAAATTAAAGCGCAGACCTGTCTAATCCCCATAAGAAAACATTTATCAGTGTGCAGTGGCAGAGACGGGGGCGTTCACACCCCTTCAGGGTGACCAATAGCCTAAACACTGCTCACCGGCCGAGGGTGCCCTTATACCCCTTCAGCATGCAGAGCAGCACCCCCCTGGAAGAGAGCGCTCTGTGCCAGTTCCTCGCACGTCAGGTCACCTCAGACATGAGCAATAACACCCAGATGTTTGAAATATCTACATGACATTGTATTGTTTTTCATTTTTGTGGTTTCAAAATGCTCACCTTCCATAGAGCCATCACTTCCATAAACCTTCCATAGACCTGTTAGCAACATAAACCTTCAATAGACCTGTTCGTGCCATAAACCTTGCATAGATCCTTTAGCTCCATTGACCTTGTACAGAAGCTCTAGTGCAATAGACCTTACATCGTGCCTTTAGACCTTCCATAGTCCTATTACCACCATAGGCTTTCCATAGTCCTATTATTGCCATAGACCTTCCATAGCCCCCTTATCGCCCTAGGCCATAGAACTTGCATATTCCCATTAATACCATAGACCTTTCATAAACTTCTTAGCATAGTGCTTGTTAGTACTGTTGATCTTTCATAGACCTGTTAGCGCTACAGACCTGACATAGTCATCTTAGTGCCATATGCTTTCCATAGACCCATAAGCACCTTCCATAGATACATTAGTGCCCTAGACTACCATAGACCCATTAGTGCCATAGAACTTGCATATTCCCTTTGCACCTTTTAGTTTCATAGATCTTCCATAGAGCCATTAGCACCTTCCATAGCACATTAGTGGCCTAGACAACCATAGACCCATTAGTGCCATAGAACTTGCCTTTTCCCATTAGTACCATCGACCTTTCATAAACCTGTTAGCACCACAGACTTTCCATAGTTCTTGCAGTTCCATAGATCTTCCATAGGCCCATTAGCACCTTCCATAGACACATTAGTGGCCTAGACAACCATAGACCAATTAGTGATGGAGAACTTCCATATACCAGTATGCCATAGACTTTCCATATTCCCGTTACCACTATAAACATTCCGTAGACTTATTAGTGCCATTGACTTTTCATATTCCAGTTAATGTCATAGACATTCCGTAGTCCCATTAGTGCCGTATGTGTTCCGTATTCCCATTACCACCATAAACCTTCCATAGACCCATAAGTGCCATAGACTTTCATATTCCCATTAATGTCTTAGGCCTTCCATAGTCCCATTTGTGCCATAGACCTTCCGTAGACCTATTAGTACCAAAGAGCCTTCCGTAAACCACAATCCGTAGACCTGTTTGCACCCTAGGCCTTCCATAGACCCGCTAATGCCATAGACTGATTAATGACATGATTCTTTAGTGCCACAGACCTACCATAGACCTCAGTGCTATAGACCTACAAGCAACTATTTTGCAGTTATTTGAGCATGCACATTAGCGTGGAGATGAAAAGTTAGGCGGAAATGTGCTTAAATGTGTTTGTCTTTCACCGGTTGCAGGTACAGAAGGGCTTGGCTTCACTGTGGTGACCAGAGACGCCTCTGTGCACGGCCCGGGGCCTATCTTGGTCAAGAGCATCCTGCCCCGTGGAGCTGCTGTGAAGGATGGACGCCTGCAGTCTGGGGATCGCATCTTAGAGGTGAGTTTCATTGTCCGGTCATTATTTGTTTTGATCATCTTTCGTGGTGAACAGATTCCATATACTTATAAATGATCTGACTGGCTACTCAGATCGCTATGTGCTTGTTTTCTTTCTCAGCATCATTTCTGTCCTAAATGCTGGTTCTCTTCCTCCTGCAGGTGAACGGAGTGGACATAACTGGCCATACGCAGGAGGAGCTGGTGGCTATGCTGCGGAGCACCAAGCTGGGAGAGACTGTATCGCTGGTTATTACCAGACAAGAGGAGCTGTTTTTACCCAGAGAGCTGGTGAGTCAGTAGGATTCTCTCATCTCTTTTTTCCCTTTATTTCCTGCTCATTCTCTCCTTCTCTCTATCTGACCTGTTTTACTTACCGTTCTGGTAAGCAGGTGTTTTTCTGTCTGTCTTGTTCCTTTCTTTTTTTAAGAAAATGTTCATTGTTCATTGTTGTTTTTTTTTCCAGACTTCTTTCCTTTTGTTGTTCTTTCTCCCACATTCTCACGCTCATTGTCTTTGTTTATATCTGCATTTCTTTCTTTCTTTCTTGTTCATTTTCATTGTTTATATCTTTCTTTCTCCAACATTTTTCTTTGTTTATATCTGTATTTCTTATTTTCTTTTCTGTATTCCTTTCTTTTTCTTCCTTCCTTCATTCCTTTCTTTCTTTCTTTCTTTCTTTCTTTCTTTCTTCCTTGTTCATTTTCATTATTTGTATCTATATCTTATTTTCTCTGTTTCCTTCTTTCTTTCTTTCTTTCTTGTTCATTTTCATTGTTTATATCTATATCTTATTTTCTTTTTTCTTGCTTTCTTTCTTTCTTTCTTGTTCATTTATATTGTTTATATCTGTATTTCTTTCTTGGCTTTTCCTTTCTTTACTTCCTTCCTTCTTTCTTTCTTTCCTTCTGTTTTTTATTTTCTTTCTTTCTTTCTTTCTTTCTTGTTCATTTATATTGTTTATATCTGTATTTCTTTCTTTGCTTTTCCTTTCTTTACTTCCTTCCTCCCTTTCTTCTTTCTTTCTTTCCTTCTGTTTTTTATTTTCTTTCTTTCTTTCTTTCTTTCTTGTTCATTTATATTGTTTATATCTGTATTTCTTTCTTTGCTTTTCCTTTCTTTACTTCCTTCCTTCCTTTCTTCTTTCTTTCTTTCCTTCTGTTTTTTATTTTCTTTCTTTCTCTTTCTTTCTTTCTTTCTTGTTCATTTTCACTGTTTATATCTTTCTTTCTTTCCCCCACATTTTCTTGTTCATTTTCTTTGTTTATATCTGTATTTCTTTCTTTCTTTCTTTCTTTCTTTCTTTCTTTCTTTCTTCCTTTCTTTCTCCCCCTCACTTTCTCAGGCCCACAGGCCTATTCTTGCTTACTTCTGTAAGACCATTTTCATCAGTGCTAAAAGTTATTTGCCTTTCCTTTTGTTCTTTCCTTTGTATTTTTTTCCCATTTCTGTTTTCCTTATTCTTTTTTCTGACTTTCTTCGACATACTCTCTCTCGTTCTCTCCGTTTTCTGCTTAGAGAACTGATAAGTGAATGTTTTATATTTCTTAATCTATTTCTTCTGTTCTCCACTCCACTCGCTCACTCTCTTATTCTCGTTCTCTCTCTGACCGACTCAACCTGCCTACGTTTATAGTCACGAAAGTCTGCCTTTCTTCCTTTTTCCTTCTACTTCCTGTCCTTCAAGGCTATGTCATCCTAGCAGCCACGACAGCCTGCACATACAAACAACACACACGCCCTCACCCCCACCCACCCTGACTCCCACTCCCCAGCCCATTTGGGACGTGTTGATTCAGCTCCTGGCAGGAAGTCGTGTGCATGGTCGGCCACTGGCCAGGAAGTTGCGGGGCATGCTGGCCCGCCACCTCTGCCAGATGTTGGTGCGGGGGCTCGTGGCTTTCTGACCTGCTTTTGAAAGCCCCTCTGTATTTTTCTGCCCCCCTCCACTCATGTTTTACTCCTCTCCACCCCGTACCCCCCACAGAAGCCCCTATATCCCTCAACTCCGGAAACGGACCCACGTCCCTCCATTGTGTCTCTGTCTATCTGCAGTTCATTCACTCGGCTCTCTCAGCTCATCAAACACTCCGGCTTTCAAACGGGCCAGTTATAAACACGTCGCGCGGGACGAAAAACAGCCCTTAATCTTTTCGCCGACCTTGCACTGCTCACCTGCATTGCTTCCTCTACAAGACGTTTGAAGTCTCGTAATAAAGATGAACACGTACCATACAGCCTGTCAAACTGCCAGAAGTCCTGTATATAAAAAAGACACTGATCATCACTGTGTGACAGACTCTGCCCGTCAAAAGTTTGAGAACACTGAGCTTTTTAAAAGGTTTAGTTTTCTTAACTGTAACGTTTTACTGTAGGGCAAGACTACATAACATCTACGTAGGCTTATCATAACAACTGACATTAACCTACAGAAACATTTATAAAGGTTCATTCCAGTAAGCATAAAGGCTGCTTTTGTCAACTTTCACGTCAAGTTGACATAACAATCATGTTGGTTGACCTCAATTTTGCACCCTTTTTTTGGGTGAAATGACATAGCGTGTTATAACAACTGACGTTCATAGCGTAGAGAACACCGACTGGACACTTCACTAAGTACACCTCCTTGTTTCTACAATCATTGTCCATTTTATCAGCTCCACTGACCATATAGGAGGACTTTGTAGATCTACAGTTACAGACTGTAGTCCATCTGTTTCTCTGCATACTTTGTTACCCTGTTCTTCAGTGGTCAGGACCCCCATGGACCCTCACAGAGCAGGCATTATTTGGGAGGTGGATCATTCTCAGCACTCCAGTAACACTGACATGGTGGTGGTGTGTTAGTGTGTGTTGTGCTGGTCCGAGTGGATCAGACACAGCAGTGCTGCTGGAGTTTTTAAACACCTCAGTGTCACTGCTGGACTGAGGAACAAAAATCCTACCCACCCAGAGGTCTAGTGTGCTCTCTTGGACTCCAGCCAATGGATGAATGTAGCATCACCAGGGATCAAACTTGTGATCTGATGATAAAGCTCATGTATTTTTTAACATCACCGATTATATTGTTACAGCCTTCCATTGTGGGGTCTCCACAGTGGTTATGTATTGAGTTTTCATGTATGAAAACAGGTTTGTGCTTTAAAAAATATCTCAGATTGTATCTGGAAATTGCATCCTCAAGTACACAATACTGTCCTAATTCCGAATAGTTTATTTCTCTTCCAGGCCATTGTGAGAGATTCGCTCTTGTGAGGTCTATTGGAAAAGAACAGCTGCGTTCACAAAGCCACACACGCATGCACAGCGCTGAAATTGTCCCTTTATTAATCTGCAGTCTCCCGAAGCACAACTACGTGCCATGGAAATCCTCCACGTACCCAAGGCGCGAGGATCAGTGTTTATAAAAAAAAATCCCCACCTCATTCTAATTCAGCGTGTTCCGACTTCTTTTGCGGGGGTAAATTGTTGCGGAAATGCGACAGCGGGCGAAATGACGCACTTGCGCGAGAGGGAGAAAGAGAGAGAGTTTTCAGCGACGTGAAAAGATATAAAAAGGCATAATGATGGTGTCGACTCGTCGCCTTTTCTGTTGCACCATCTGCTCTTTACTTTGCTGGGGTGTATGTGAGGAACCAAATGAGTCTGCAAGGTCTCGCACGAGGTTCTTTAGAAAACGCCCATTTTTCTCTCCCCGCTGACATACTGCAGAGTCATTTATTTCTGTCCACGTGGTCAGTTTCCGCCAGCTTTGCACGAGTTAATTGTTAACCACTGGCTGTTAGCGAAAAGAGAATCCTTTGTCTGTTAAAGCGATGATTCAGCCAAGAATCTGGTTTTGGCCTTAACTCAAATGTAGTTCATCGGCCAAGACGTGTTTGCTCCTTCAGTTTCGCGCTGGAGCTGCCAGGCTAATGAAGCTAACAAGCAATGGAAGTTGCACACCAGTTAGCACTGGGAGATATGCTCATGTTCCCATCAACTCACTGCGCAAATTGCAAGCCATAACATGAAAATGCATATCGTTTCCATCACACTGCCTATTTTTGCATAACTTTGGGTTTATCGATTAACCCCTTAAGTTATGTGAGGCCTGGGCTCACAAGCAGGCCCAAACTTTTACTACACACTTCTATAACCTATGAAAAGCTCAGCCAGAGCATCAGAGTCCCTGTAGTTACTGAATAATAAGCCTTAGTATGTAATACGCCTGGGATTTTAAGGGGTTAAAATAAGTTGGGTTGCACGTTTCCATCTCTACTTTCATGAGTGGCACAACATTTTAACTGTTTAATATTATATGTTTAAATGGAGCTGTTATGTGAAGGATCACTATGCTGTTTGAATGAAAAGAGTCACATAAGAGAAATTCATCACATCATTAAATTTATGAGTAAATGTGTCATTTATCTCAACATTGCAGGTATCAATAAGCAGTTTTCCTGTTAAAGTTGAATGGCAAAAAAGTTTGTCAACATTCATGAAATGACAGTTTCCACAGTCTCTGTTAACAAACATTTTGAAGCGCTGGAAGAAAATAATTTGCATGGAATGTTTGACATGGACAAAAGTATGGATGAAATTCAGGTGTCATGACTGTTACTGCTGTTTTAACTTTGCTACAGGTAAACAACACCTATATAACCCTTTATTGCAGCTGACATAAGCATGCACAGACATTTATAAGGGTTTATTCCAACAAGCGTCAGTTGCCATAACATTGTCTGAGGTGAACTGACATTTGGACAAACGGACAAGTACTACTCATTCCATTGCTGGGTTTTGGATGGAAACCAAAGAGTTACATTCTTGAACAGTCCAGCAGAAAACTGGCCAATCAATTTTCCTCTCTGGTATCTAGGTAGATATAGCTGTTGGTTAGGACTTTAAGTGCTGAAGAGAAGGCTTAACAATCAGCGTAATTACGAAGCGGCAGTAATCAATCAATCACATTTTGATTTCCAATTCATCAGTTTTTGAGACTCTGGAAATCCTATATATGTCACTAACTGAATACGAGCGGCAGCTAAATCAATGAGTAGCCAAGTAATGGAAAACAGAAAACAGTGGCTCTTAGCAGAGCTCAGTACTGAAAGAGTCACTGTGAAATGGCTACAAGGTAAAATACATGCTATGTCTGTTGCAAGCTTTAAGTAAAACATGGAATGTCTAATAGAAGCTTCAAAAGTCTGTGTTTAGTCAGCCAAAAATACTGTTAGCTTAATGCTATCAAACCACTGGAATCCCATAGGGATGCTAGCAAAGGTTAGCATTATTGTAAAGGTGGGTTT